TTTTTTTTTTTTTTTTGGCTAGTTTTTTTTTTTTTTGACAGCTGTGTACCTGGGGCAAGGTCCCACTAGCAACATGGATTGGATTGAACGTCCGAATCTAGACGTGTTCCTGGAAAAGTGCAGAAATTCGAGGTTGAACAGCTTTTCTTCATCTCTGCTTAAAACACGTCAAGATTCAGGAGCTAAATAGAATTCTCTTTGCTAATGGGACCTAGGCCCTGGTGTCCATGGGAACCTGCCCATTTTTTATTTTATTTTTTTTCCACCGGAAAATATTTTTTTCTAATTTATGAAAATATAATTAAAAAAAATAGTTTTTTGCCTGTGTTTGGCGTGGCCTTGGTTGGCTGCAGGCCCCGTTGAGGGTATTATTTGGCACTTCAAAAAAACAAAAAAATAAGACAACAAGTAGGCATAGGAACCGTGCCATTCTGCCCGTGAAAACAACATCACAAAAAAAAAAAAAAAAAAAAAAAAGGTCCACAGTTCCCGATTGGCCCCCCACCCGGTAATGTTCGGGGCCGTGGTGAAAGAAAGCACCACACCCGCTCTTTCACTCATTACTGCCATTCACATGGTCGCCATTTGTGCGAGGGAGAGGCATTGGCTGTGTGTGTGTGTGTGAGAGAGTGGGGGAGTGGGGGTGGTGACGGGTTTTGGTGCTTGGCGGTCTGGGGGCGACGGGGGGTGTGGGGTGGGGTAGCGTTGTGTGGTTATGTGGGGTGTTACCAACACCCCACAATTCCCCCCTCCCCCCGTTAAGTGGCGCTTCCCTGCTAGGGCCATGCGCCAACGGACCGCCCCGCCACCCCCCCAGATTTTTTTTTTCCAACCATCTACACCCCCATTCAGGATTTTTTATTTTTTTTTCTCAGTTTTGATGTCGCGGGGGTGTACACCACTCCCGTGCAACCCCCCTCCCGCCCCGATCCCGACTTAACCGGTTGCCACGGTTGCCACGTGGCGGGAAGAGCCGTGAAAGGCCGTTCACCAATACATGCCCCCGTGACCGGCCGGTCACGTTCACGGTGACGGCACTGCCCACACACTCATTTCCATCCCTCTCTCCACCACAATGACAACTGCACCTTCACACAGAAGATGGCAAGACACATCCGCTAGAAAAACACATTCCGTGATATGGGATGGATCGAAATAAATATAGTACAGTTACATCCATTTCTACGGGTGCATATCAATCACCTCTTCCCTTTCCCACTATTCCTGATGAAACGCGGCTTCATCCATGTTGTGTGACTTTCCAAAATGGCTGCCATGAAACAAAAGTGGCAGACAGAAATCAGACAAGTGGAAAAAGAAGATAGAGACCAGAGCAGATACAGCAGCAGCAGCAGCAGCAGTAGCAGCAGCAGAAGGAGGAGGAGGAGGAGGAGGAGGAGGAGGAGGAGGAGGAG